CGGGGTGGAGGGAAACGGCTGGCGGGTGGAGCTTGATGATTTGAAGGCGAGGTGGAGGAAAGCTATTGCTATGACCCATCCCGACCGGGCGCGGCAGAGGGGAGAGGTGAGCGATGTCGACCGGAGGAGCTCAACGAATGGACCGATTTCAACTGGCTTCTCGCTCGTCTCGCTTTCGGCTAATGCATGCACCGCCTACGTACACAGAAACAAGAACAGCTGGCACTAGCTCAGTCCAGTGTGTTGAACAAGGCTTACCAGACATTGCGAAATCCCTTGGCAAGAGCGACTTGGCTCGTGAGTGCATGTAGGAGGGGGGGCCGCTACGCCGGATCCCTTCGCATCACAGATCTGACCTAGTCAGCATCGGATCTTTTCACTCTCGCTCAGCTGGAGCACGGCTCCCATGCAGCACCCAGTGAAGAGGAGGGGGTCGAGGATCCCGCCTTACTAATGCAGGTGATGGAGTTCAGAGAAGCTTTGGAAGAGGCTTCAAACGAGGAGCAAGCCGAGCAGGTGGGCAGCGACAATCAGCGTGAGCCGACGGATCACCTCTTTCCCGCTGTCCGTGGTAGCTGAAGCCGCGCAATCTCGCCTTCTCTCGATTTAGTCCGACTACAGTCGACATTGCGAGCTCTGGACGACGCGTTCAGTAAAGCGCAGCCTGAATACGAGAAAATCAAGAGCTTGATAATACAGCTCAGGTACTGGATGAACATAGACAAGGCAGCCAGAGAGTGGAGCCCCGGGCAACGCGTGGAGCTCAAACATTGACGTCGCTTGTATCTTCGGAGCTTTGCTCAATGTAGCTTGCATTAGCGAGTAAAAGGGGCAAGGTGAGCGTTTCAGGGGGCGATTACACAGGGGAGTCTCACCGATCTTCGCTTCAGGCGCGGACGCAAAAGGGCTCAGAGATTCGGCGAGACGAAGAATGCAAGCTGAGCAGGATGCGCCAAGGCCATTGCGAGGGCTTTCAGCAAGGAGCGCAAGCCCTATGCTCAAGGGTCGAAGACTGCAGGCAAGGAATTTAGAAGGGTCGAAGACTTCAGGCAAGGAATTTAGAACTTCACTCTACTAGCCTTCCCGAGCACATCATGGAGATGCTATCAGCAGTACAATATCCCAAACACTTTGCGCGTCTGGCTTTGCCCGCGTTTGCGTCAAGCGCGAAAAAGACAACGCATTTTGATGTAATTGCGGCCCTGATGAGCTCCAAGCAGGCAGTCAGGATGGCATGACCCTAACCGACGTTGGCAGCGGGCGCCGCTCTGCGGTCGGGAGGGCGAAGTCCGTCAGTCAAGTAGCCCCCTTTTGGCGCATCGAGCATCTACCAGAGCCCTTCGCCATGACTACTGCCTCAGTCTTTGGCCTGAAGCGAAACGTTCCTCTCACCTGATGATCATTCGAACGCTATTGAGAAAGACAAGAATAAGATCTTCATAGGGAGTCCACTCCTCGGGGGACGTCCGATTGGGAGACACTTCCGACCTGTAATTGTGCGCTTCTCGGAGCAGGCTGCCCGCATCTCTGAACTCTAGCTCCAGCTCATGAGAGGGTACACCCGGCTGCAAAAAGAGTGTAGGAGTGTGCGGTTCCGGTAAGCAAAGCTCGCAACACGAGCTCAAGCTTCTCTCATGACTCAGACCAAGTCAATTTTCAAGCCTGAAGCTAGCAGTCGCTCCAACTTACGTTGTCAGATGAATCGACAGCTGTGAGGTCCACCTGGAAGTGTGGATTCTGGTAGCATAGCCTGTTCTTGTCTCGCGTGAGCTGCGGCTGATCTTGCGGAGGAGCCTCTGGGAGCAGGATCAGAGTGCCTGTCAGCATCGCGTGCGGTGCGCTTGATCGAAAGGTTTGATTGATACTGACGAATCGGCAACTCCCAATTG